CTTCCCTACTTTGTGGTAACCGTTCACGTTTCGTAACTTCTTTGATGGGAAGAAATATATAAAGGGAATAAAGTGGTATTGGTCCCCTAGCCGAGACTTTCATGAAACTACACCATCGCAGAGAAGTCTTGAAGGCTTGGAAGCACCAAACACAATTCGAAATTCTGCAGTTCAAAAGACAATGGCTGGAGGTTAGTTTATGATCTTCAGTTTCCGCATTTGATCTATATGTTGTTGTTTATTCACATGATAGATCGTGATAAAGTTCTAACAGATGCAGACTATGGCACAGACATGGTCTTTGCAACTCTTACTTCTGTTTATCCTATGTGAAATATTTTTCTCACACAAACATTCATTTTCTTTGAGATTCTTCCTTCAATTATTGATACTTTGGACGTAGTAACCTAAGCTTCAATCTCCGTCAAAAATGTTATTGTCCAATTGAACACGATTGTCATGCTTGGCTATTTATTGTGCAAAGTGAATAGTCAAACATATAGCCATTCAAATTTCCATCTTACACTCGATGTTCGAACTAGAAGCATTTTTGTTACTGATGCAAGATAATTCTATTACAAATAGGACAAGAAATTACTTCTTGTTGTAATAATATTTTATTTCTTGTTTAGATTAAGACTTTGACAGTTCACCAATCTACCCAGGTGCACGTGGCAGTTTTTAATCCTGCTAATGATATTCTTTAGCAAGGGGTATATGGTATCTCAGATAAAATAAGAAATAACTACTCAAAGGAACATCTGATTTTGATTTGGCTCGATGGGGATTTATGTTGTCCTTCATGTTTGGTGTTTTATATGCGACTCTTCATTTGTATTCCTATAACAAGGCTTTGGTTTTGTTTTGAGAATCACTATATCGCTTGAATCCTTATTAATTCATTGTGAAAATTGGTCACCTTTCTATTTTTTGATGAATAATGAATTGGCTTGCCGTGAGGAGGTGTGTTGAGGACAATGTAAATAAATAATTTTATTCGTTATATGACAGCTTAACTTTATGATGAGTTTGTTCAACAATGTGATGTCATCAAATCTCATGTCATTTTGTATAACGAATCACTCGGAGCATGTCACGGGGTTAATTCTTTTTTTGATAAGCGTTGACAAGTTTGCATTATTTGTAGATTCCTAGGCTGGTGAATGAAGATTTTTTGCATTATTTGCAGATTCCTAGGCTGGTGAATGTACATATTTTTCAATTAGCACGTGTTGTATGTTACTTTGTGCAAAAATATGGAGATATACATGGTTTTAGTTTATGTTCTTTTCAGAACAATCTAAAAACTGAGGTGGTTGGCTTATGAATGGGTGCAGGCATGGGGTGTTCTTTGAACATGCTGCTGTTTAATTTCTTGTCTTTCTGTATGAGAATAAACGATTGGAGATTCCACGGCAAATGCAGGTTTCTTCACCCAATTGAAACAAATTATAATTATGACTTGGAGCCGTAACAAATTTGGGGTTGAGACATACTGGCATACAATACTATTAGGGCTGGGCAAATCTCCCGAACCGAACCTACCGAATCGAACCCGACGGTTCTTGTCAAATCAAATACCCGAACGGGTATCTGAATTGAGAACCGACGGGTACGATTCGATTCTCGGTTCTAGACCAAGAACCGAATAAGAACTGAATCTTTCTAATTTTTTTTATATTGAATAAATCAAATTATTTTAATTTTATTTTTTTTAAACAAATCAACAATTTCTAAATCCAAATTTTTGGCCCGATAATTTGTTTCATTTCTAATTTTTTTAATTTTTGGCCCAATTATCCATTTTATTGTTTCATTTCTTAGCTCAACAAGATTTAACCCACTAAATAACCCTAAACACCTACACTAAAGTGCATAACGCTGTCTCAACTCTCGCACTCACTCTCGCAGTCTCGCTAACATTCGAAAACCTATAAAATCACCGATCGATACTGTGACCTCCACCGACCGAAACTTTGACCGTAGTGATCATTTGATTAAGGTAGTCCACTAATCTTTGATATTTCAAAACCACTGAATGTGTCATTAGTTGTATTTATATAATGTTGTTATAAATAACGGAACCGAACCGAACCAAACTGAATCGAACCGAACCGAACCGAACCTGAGCGGTTCTATAATTATATTTGGACCCAACGGTTCCATTTACTAGATACCAACCTGCGCCCACCTCTAAATGCTGTCGTAAAAAGATGCTTCTATTCGAGTTCTTGAGGAAGAAAGGACACCCTAATATCCACATTCTCGCAAAGACCTCTAATTTTCCCTTCATCACAGGTTTTTCCTTCAAACTAGTTTCCATTGACCTGATCATACCTATTCAGGGTGCTATATGTTGTTTATATAGGATTTTGGCTTCGAATCATATACGAAGTATAGGATTTAGAAATAAGGGTCTTGCATTCTAACAAAAAAATGTATGAATTTGGAGTTAAATACACTTAGTTATACACTTTTTTTTTTTGCCACTCAGGTATCCGAACTTCGCCCGATTAATCTTAAGGAGTGGCAACCTTTTCCCTAATTTATCACTCGGGTAAATCCGGATGCGATCACAGCTTATAAACACTTGGACCAGATATTTGGAATGCAGTTCTCCTCCCTGTTCATCTTCCTTTACGATGTGCGAATAGAACCTTTGAAGGAACGACAAAGTCCACCATAACTTTACTTCCACATGACACTTTGTTATACGCTTTTGATTGTACAATGTCCAGTTTGTTCTTAGTATCGTGGTCTTCTTCGTATGGGATATAACCCCGAAAGGTGGAGTACTGTACCACAAGGAAGGATGCCTCCTCCTCTTTGCCCAAGGAAAGCTGGCCAATCGGTCAAAGAAAGCTCAATGGATAGAGCGATCCCCCTCGTGTAGGTGGGGAAAGAGTTTCATGAGGAAACTACCAAAGTTCAGCTTCCTCTACAAACTCTTTGAGTGAGTGAGTCAAAAAAACTTTTCGAAAATTATCAAAATAGTTTCAAAAACAACTTCTTAAGTTTAGAAGCAGCTTCAAAATTTTAAAAAGACTTGTCAAAGAGGTCCTAAGTCCTTTAAGATCATACGGAATGGTGAAAAAAATATTCAAGTGTGAGTCTAACTTCAAATTTATTGAGAATAAAGACATTATGTGCTGTTATTTTAAAAAGATTAAAGTCTAACATGGAATAAATCAAATACATTACAGCATATGAACTCAACCTAAACTTTGGTACGCACACAAGTTATTTTCTATTTTTTTTTCTCAAGTCAAAGCGTGACCACATGGACGAGTTTATATTTAATTAAATAAATGTGCTATCTCTAATAATTTAGGATTTGTTCGATAGGGTTTTTGAAAAATTTAAAGCCGTTTTTAAAAATGTTTAGATAATTTTTTTTTAAAGTGCTTGGTCTGAAAGTAATTGCTTCTCGAATCTTTTCTATAAGAAGTTGAAACAAAAGTGAAAGCCCTTCATGCCCCTAATATTCTAGATAAAGTGATTTTATGCAATGTTTGAATATACAAGCATTGTGAGTCCAACCTCGTTATCTACGTATCGTTCTTTTAGCCTATTTGATGGGGATTAAAATCAAAATTTTATTAAATTTTGATAAAAATTAATAAAATATATTGTTGAAAAATTATGAATCCCATGAAATATGCTAATTATTGACTTTGATTTAAATTAAAATTAAAATTTTAATCTTTACCAAACAAGAATTCGGTAAAAAATAGAAGTCTATTCTGTAGTGATGGGATTTTTCCTGGGAATAAAAAAAGAAAGCAGCCAAACTTGAAACATAAGAGTAACCATCTTATGGAAAGTTAACGGACAAAATTAGAGCGTGGAACTTTACAAAGATGTGACTCGATTCGACTTGCAAATATGGCCTTGGTAGGAGACATGCCCATGTGGCATGAAAAGGTAGAAATGTTTGTTCACATTATTTCTCACATGTAACGGGTATCGATATATTCATATACAATATATTGTAATTTTAATTATACTATATTAAATATCATATCAAATGAGAATTATTTTTGGGACGATTTTAATCATTTTACAATTCAATTATTTCAATAATACCTTACTTTTCCCTTCTCAATATGTAATAAATATTACATAATAATTGTAATATATAAATTTGGTGTTATTAATTCTCAATTAATTAACATTCACATTAATCTGGCCTCAATGAATCTTTATTAGATGAATCTTGACCTACGTTAATCTAGATTTATTATAGATGACATTATTTTATTCATATATCTAAGATTTTTAATAGGTGTTTAAATTCATGTATTAGCAATTAAATTTTAGGTACCAAATGTAGCATAAAAAGGTTGCTCATTTGTGTATTTTATCATCACAAAAAATTGAATTAAAGAAGTTCAATTTAGAGATACAATTTTCTTCTTTTAAATTTCTATCATAAATTTAATTTTATTTAGTTTGTTTGAAACTTATCAAATCCTCTCAACAAATTATTATCAAATATTACTTTTACAGTAAAGTATTTCAAAATAATGTGCAATGCACATTCAACTCTGAATAATATTTGAAAGTTTGATTAACTAAAAATAAAAATAAAAAATGAAATGACGGTGCAATCATTCATCGATCATTGTGTCAAATAGACTGTCATATCAATTTTCCTGTAAATTTAATTTGATGTTATTCTTAACCAATAAAATATCTCCTTGACCCACCCCAACCCCCACGACAATCAGTCTCAATCTCATTGAATGATAGGAAAAAAGTGCCCAAAAATAGCCTCCCTATATCAAATTATATGTCCTCATTGGCCCAAAATGAACATCAACCTCACAATATCCTCCGCTCCAAATGAATCATCTCATCTGGAAACCTCTCTCTCTCTCTGTCTCTCTCTCTCTCTCTCTTCGTTGACAATGCATCATAGTAATACCACACAATTTAGAAATGACACGCACATTTGCCGCTTACCATACAAAAACAACGATCTTTTAGATGATGTACGTGTAAACTAACATTCCATTCATTTACTTCGCTTCCTTCCCAAACAATATAATCTTCAACCACCAGAGAAAACTATTGGGAATAGAGTGTGTGTATGTGTGTTTTTTCTGCATTCATGCAAAAAGAATCCATGAAAATGGGTACTCCTCAGAACTCCAATGAGTCTGAACCAGAAATTATTATCCCACCATTTCCATCAGAATCCAAGGAAGTTCATAGCCCAGAGAAGCCATTTTCTATTGAAGAAAAAAAGAGCAAATCTGAAGAAGAAAACCAATTCAATGAAACAGAAACACCACCCCAAGATTCTTCACTAAGCATGCAAATGAAATTGAAAGATACATATACTGAGCCTGTGGTAGAAGACAGTGGACGTGAGAGACTAAAGAGACATCGGGTCGAGGTGGCGGGTAGTGTTCGGATCCCGGATATATGGGGACAGGAAGATTTGCTCAAGGATTGGACTGATTGCACTGCGTTTGATGCCTCATTGATGAATAACAATATCATGCCTGCTCGAGCTTCTTTGGTTGAAGAAGGAAGAAGAACAATTCCAGCAGATTGAGAATAGGGAGTTAAGCAAATTATTTTTTCTCTTCTTCATTTTGATACGTGTTTTGACCATAATTTGCATATCCCAATGTTTATATCATTAAAATAACAATTTTTACGAGAATAATTAACAATTTGATACAGATTGGTGCTTTACAGTTGAAGAAAATCACAATTTGTTTTGCTATTTCCTTTCGCTGCTTGAACAGAAAAAAAATGACACCAAGTTAAATCCATAAAATAGATATTGATTAATGCTTCTCTCTTCTTATTATTTTCTCCACTTCTTTCCCTTCCTTTTTCCAGAGATGGACAGGAAAGGTACGATGAATAGACATGATTGAACAAGACAAAAGAAAATCGTCTCTTATCCTTAATCACTTCAAGTTAGGATAACCTTAATGAATTGTGTTTGTAACACAATGCAAAAGTTTTTATAGCATTATTAGCGAAGATACATCCATAGATAAATAAGTAGGATGAAGTGTATTGTTATATCTAAACTCAATATCTTATTGAGAAATTGTACATTTAATTTCCAGTTCTTGGGGTATCAACTTATAATAATTCCATGTAAAACATAAATTATACAAAGTTCCTCTCAGAATTTTGCCAAACATGCTGAAAAGTACGAGGATACGTATTTCTACAACACAGCATAATGTACAAAAATGTCGGCGTATTATTTAGTACAGCTATAACGGTAGCTTTTCATTTCAAGAGGATGAAGTGAGTTGCCATATCTTGACTGTTCCATCATCACTTGCAGAGGCAAGAAGTGAATTTTCCTGTCAGAAAACAAGAAATTCAGCAGACGTGATGTACACAAACATCAATATTCCACAATTATACAGGCATCAAATGAAGGCCAACACAAATTCAGATAAAGCGAAGTAACTTCAGCATTCCATTAATTTATACAGGTCAATCAATTCAGAAGCAAGCAAAAATGCCTAATGTCTCTATTGGAATATTCGACTAGATGTAGGTGCTGATGAAAGATCATGAGACAGTCGCAGAGCATAATAAGCCCCTATTTCGTGGCCATTATTTGAAAAAAACAATGTTTTGAATGGTGAATTTTTGAACAGTGTGTGGTTAAAAAGCATGAAAGTTTTGAATTTACGTGCAGAATATTTTGTTGTATAAATATGCAGATGAAAATTAGTACGTAAAAAAAAAAGAGTTTTGAAATGATGATTGTCAAATAGGGGCTAAAAGGATGGTGGCACCTATATAGCAGCTCTTCCAGGACTGTCTGCGCTGCAATTACGAACCTTTATTTTCTACTCCTATAGTTCAGAGAGAATGCACTAAATAATTTACAAGAATAGGCATATTAATTTTCATGTTCAGAAGATGAAAGCTTCTGGCTTATCTATGGGTCGCAAGTCCAAAAAATAACCCTAATAAAGAGCATTTTAAAGATATGATCTTTCTCCATATCTCAGCCTAGCCACCAGATTATAAATCAGTTATGCAACCTGAATTCAAAATCCGCATGCATGGAATATGAATCTCTCTATGTCAAGATATTTACCGTGGAACCCCACTGCACAGCATTTACATCCATGTCATGAGCCTTTTCTTTCTTCAAAAGCAACTTGTATGAAGGTTCACCAACCTGCAATTAAATACAAGAAAAAGTAACTCTTAACATATGAAAGCAGGAAAAATTGTAAATTTAAATTTCCAGACATTCTGGAAAACTAACATAATGAAACTTGTTATTGTCTCAAGTTTTTTGGATTATCTTAACCTCTTTCTTCCACCTAATTTAATTGTACGCATTTCTACTTTAGTTTAATTTGGACATTGATTCCTAAAAAGTTTTACCTTAAATTCTTCCTCTTTTTTTTACCTTAAAAAATGAATTTTGCCTGGGCCAGTTTCGTTAATTTTATAACAGTGTTTCTTCTAGTTAAAAAGCTTTAAGGAAGCCAGCGTAATGTGGCTTCTAAACCTCTTCCGGAAAAAAAAAATTCTTCTAAAAATTAGTTTCCAAACACTAATTAAAATAGCTTCGTTAGGGAGCTCTTCTATAAGAAGCAGAATCAAAAGCCATACTAAATAGGCCCTAAAGATTTTTGGAGCTTTCTCCACATATATATGTATACAAACCCAGATATGCACATGATGCAACTGTGCAAAGACAAGGAAAGATGACAAATTATGTAACAGCAGACAAATCTATATTGCACAGAATCAAGGACAGGTAATTGTTGCATGAAGCGAGAGGCCAAGGATAAAAAGATTTATATATTCATTGGTTACCCAGTAATGAGAGTTACATGAAAGAAAGAAGACATTAAGAAAACTGCAATAAGGAGAGACGTCGGTTTATACCAATCCATCTATACTCTCAACAAATAAACGGATAGCATCATCAGCTGCTCCACTGGCAATTATCCCTTCCCTGTAATGTCCACATGATTCAAATGAGCGTAGCATAAGTCCAGTATAATTTATAGATAGGAAAAACAATACCAGGAAAATTAAAAACCATCAAGATATGTTAATCTTGAATGAGAGAGTATATTGTAGAAATAATTCTCAATAATTCATCTCATAGGTACATAGTAGTATTTATATATTATTTACAGCAGAAAAATAAAATAGGAAAGAAAAATTAAACGCTAATTTTAAAGAAACTAAATGTCATAGAATATGGCAGATTTGGGAGCTTTCCAACACTCCCCCTCAAACTGGTTTAAAAATAGCTTCCATAGCCAGCTTGTTGATTAAGCTGTCAAACTGTTTCCTTGACAGACCCTTTGTAAGTATGTCTGCTACTTGGTTGGCTGTAGAAATATAGGGCACACAGATTACCCCACTATCTATTTTCTCCTTAATGAAGTGCTTGTCCACCTCCACATGTTTTGTTCTGTCATGATGAACTAGATTGTGAGCAATAACTATTGCTGCTTTATTATCGTAATACAGTTTCATTGGTAATGAATTAGTAACTTTCAACTCTTACAGTAATCTTTTAATCCATAGTGCTTCACAAATTCCATGAGCAATAGCCCTAAACTCAGTCTCTACGCTACTCCTTGCCACCACACTTTGTTTCTTGTTGTGCCATGTTACTAAATTTCCTCCAACAAATGTACAATAACCAGAAGTTGATCTTCTATCAATGACACTTCCAGCCCAATCTGCATCAGTGTATATTTCAACTTGTAAATTTCCATAACCTCCAAACAACGGGCCTTTTCCTGGAGTCCCCTTTAAGTATCTTAAAATCTTGTAAGCAGCATCAAAATGTTCAGGTCCTAGTGAGTGCATAAACTGACTTACTATACTTGTTGCAAAAGCTATGTCAGGCCGTGTATGAGAGANTGCTATCATCTCCTGTCAGAATAATATCATCAACACCTTAGCAAGAATCTTCTTTAATATCTCAATTTTATTGCTATCATCTCCTGTCAGAATAATAACATCAACATAAACAATAAGTATAGCTACCCTATCTCTGCCAGTGTGTGTATAGAACATAGTGTGGTCAACTTGGCCTTGATTATAGCCGTGACTTTTTATCACCATTCCAAAGCATTCAAACCAAGCTCTCGGAGACTGCTTGAGTCCATACAAAGACTTCCTCAATCTGCACACCTTCCCTTTGCCTCCTTTGTTTTCAAATCCCGGTGGTAGATCCATAAAAACTTCCTCCTCTAGGTCTCCATTTAAGAAGACATTCTTCAAATCTAATTGATACAAGGGTTAGTTGAATGGACTGCTAGAGAAAGCAACACACGAATTGAATTCATCTTCGCTATAGGAGCAAAGATATCCTGGTAGTCAATTCCGTATGTTTGAGTGAACCCCTATGCCACAAGCCATGCTTTGTACCTTTCTATACTACAATTAGCATTGCATTTGACTCTAAACAACCATTTACATCCCACAGTTTTCTTCCCCTCTGGTAGATCAGCAATTCCCCAAGTACCATTAGCAATTAGTGCATTCATATCTTCTTGAACAACCAATCTCACTCCTGGTGATCCAGGGCTTCCTGAATGGTTCTTGGAATAAACAAATGAGATATATTGGATGTAAAGGCCTTATAAGCATCAGAGAGTCTATGATATGATAGGTATTTTGCAATATGGTGTGTGGTACAGGTTCTAACTCCTTTCCTAAGGGCTATAGGTAGATCTAGATCGGCAAAATTGTCAACAAAAAGGAACGGGAATGGAAGAGTTACCTTGTGTACTGGAAGGACCAACTTGTGGAGGGGATGATGAGTGGCGTTGCTCCGGAGGATTTCTATTATTTTGATGATCTCTCTTCTAGTATAAGTACGAAGTTCATGTGAGGTAATACCTGGTAATATTTCTCCCCCTGGTTGAGAATCACTTATGTTTTGTATATGTGGACTTGGGTTTCTATCATTTTTACAAGATAAATTTTTCTTTTCCCGACCCTTTAAAGGAGTATGGAGGTTCAGGTCAACGTTAGGGAAAACACTAGAAAGAAGATTAAGATCAAAAATGCTAGGAAGAGGATTAAGATAAAAAATTAGCCATGACTCATCTTTACTTTTTCCTTTCTCCCCCTGAAGATAGTCATGGGTAAAGAAAGACTGTTTTTCAAGGAAAGACACATCCATACTAATATGAATTTTCTTTGTAATAGGGTTAAAACATTTGTACCCTTTTTTATTAGGAGCATATCCAAGGAAAACACATTTTTCTGCCCTAGTGTCAAGTTTGGACCTAAGATGGTTTGGCATATGAACAAAAACAGTATATCTAAAAACCCTTAGTTGTAAATCCGATGTTATTCGACAAGTAGGAAAAAACTTCTTTAGATAGGCTAACGGAGTGATGTATTTTAAAATACGAGTAGACATTCTATTAATATGGTAACAGGCAGTCAAAATAGCATCTCCCCAGAAGTATTTAGGAACATGCATAGAAAACATTAGGGCCCGTGCAACCTCTAATAAATGACATTTTTTTCTCTCGGCAATACCATTTTGTTGTGGGGTGTTACGACAAGTAGACTAGTGTTGAATACCTTTTGCTGACAAAAAAGTTCTCAAACATTTGTAGAAATATTCGGTACCATTATCAGTCCGAAGGATACTGATTTTTGTTTGAAACTGATTTTCTATCACGTGATAAAAATCTTTGAATAATTTTTCAACATCAAATTTATCGCTCATCAGAATACCCAACACAATTGTGTACGATCTTCAATAAATGTTACAAACCATTTTTTTCCAGATGCAGTAGTGATTTTTGAGAGACCCCAAACATCACTATGAATTAAATAAAAGGGTTTTGAAGCATGATAACCTATTGACGGATAAGTGTTCTGATGACTCTTGGATAAATGACAAGTATCACAAGAAAGGGAGTTGCAATCAATAGTTTTAAATAAGTTAGGAAACGAATGTTTTAAATCAAGAAAATTTGGATGTCCTAGTCTAAGATGCCAAAGCATAATTTGTTCTCGCACAGGTATTGAACTATTACCATTAGTACTTAACCCCTGAACTTGTTTATTGTTGAATTAGGTATCATCAAAATAATAGAGTCCATCAATCATCCTAGCTTTGCCAATCATCCTCCCCGAGAGTTGGTCCTGAAATTCATAATGGGAATTAAAGAATATAACACGACAATTAGAATCACGTGACAGTTTACTAAGAGATAGCAAATTACAAGCAAGTTTAGGAACATGAAGGACAGATTTTAGTTCAATTTTCTCATAGATTTGGACAGAACTTATTCCTGCAATGGATGAGAGACTACCATCTGCAATTCTAATCTTTTTATTCCTTGGACACGGGTAATGAGATTGAAAAAATTGTGAAGTACTAGTCATATGGTCGGATGCACCAGAATCAAGTTAAACCACAAGAGTATGTACTAGGGAGATCGCCTGTTTAGGCCAAAGAACCAGCAGAAGGACCACATGTAGGAGTGAATTTCAGCCATTGAAGAAGGTGATCCACCTGCTCAGCACTTAGGAAATTAGCCATGAATTAGAAATTTTAATCAAACCCGTAACTTTAAATAATTAAATCAATCTTAGGGACACAAGACCAATTGATACAAATATAACCCGTTATTCAATTTAACTGGCAGAGACAAAGAAACACGGTCCAATTAACCAAAGCCCAATCAAGAGGAGAGCAACACTAGAGAGAAGAAAATGGAAGAAGGGACGAGACATAGCTGGACCTCCTCGAGGTACGGTTCAACCCAACAGCTTCTGGGTTCGACGGTCCACTTAGAAAGTGGAAGAAGCAGTGAGACAATTCTCAATCTAGTAACAGCGATAGCAACGAAAAGCACCCTTCGATTCTCTCCAATTCTCCTCTGTTGATGGACCCCGCTTTCTTCTACTGCCACCGATGTTGACTCTGCCAACCCTAATGCTTGACCCAGCGAAGAGACTTGACACCCAGGCTTAGAGATGCCGGAACGTCAGACGACGCTGAAAATTACGAAGGCCAACTGTAGATGGCACCAAAAGCGTGATCACCTGCCGTAAACTATAAAGAACCCAGAACTAAGTGTGGCCTGCCAAAAAATTTAGTAACCACCGGAAATCACATGCTCGAGTAAGTCAATTTCTGGCTCTAATACCATCTTGAATGAGAGAGTATATTGTAGAAATAATTCTCATTAATTCATCTCATAGGTACATAGCAGTATTTATATTTACAGCAGAAAATAAAATAAAGAAACTAAATCTCCTAGAATATGGCAGATTTGGGAGCTTTCCAACAGTTAATACATATTAACGCCACATAACACGAGAAATAGGTGGACAACAAGGGGAATGCATCTTGCTACCTTGACCAATGGACAGAAAAAATTGTCCGATCGTGATAGCCAGAAAGAGTACAAAGATGTGCCCTGACAAAAGCAAAAGAAAATGTATTATCCATCTGAATTTGGTGATTTTCAATGGGAACCAGACAACAAAATTTTCATAAACATCCCAAAAATGATGGAATTTAAACCTTTACATTTATAAGTTACTCAACTGGTCTTAGACTTTTTATTAAAGGGACCAGATCTAGTAGCGAATTAACTTGGTTCAGACTTGGAATTAGGTAATAATTTGAACCAGTGGGGTTTAACTTTGTAAAGGACTGCAAATGGAGCAGAGGAGAGGAAAAAGGTCCATATAGCTGACCCTTTATAAGTAAGAGATAAGGGTTAATTGAGTTTAGATGTTCAACATTATATAAGATTAAGATCCCTCCGTTGTCCGATCAAAAAAAGAAGAAAAAGAAAAAAAAATCCCTCCGTTATACCAATATGTTCTCTACCACCTCTATTTTCTTTTCATTTTTTTTTATTTTTTTAATTTTTTTTATTAATAATCAAATTAAGTACTGAACTGTAAAAAGTGCATTAATTTTGCAGAACGAAGATACGCTGCAAACAATATACTATCATTAGAGAAACTTGTGATGAAGCGGGGGAAAAAAAGGATGGTGATATGATCAGGTCAGAATGCTAGACATAAACAGAAAAGCACCAACATTTTGGAGTTTAATAATGCAAAACATTATAGTTCCCTTGAATAGTGAAAAAAAAATTAATAGTTTTTGAAGATTTGAGCTAACTCGTCTAAAAGCTTAAGCTTTTAAAATAGAGATGAATTTATTTATTTAAATCTTGTCTTCATCGCACCCCTCACACAATTTATTACATCATAGGCCTGAGACATGCCCAATTTTCACAAATGAGGGTAGGTAAAAGTTGGCCCCAAGACATTTGCCTGATTTGATATCGAATACTGTTCACAAAATACAAATTGGGTTTTAAGAAAAATATAATACAGAGAACAAGCAGAATTTACGTAATCTGCCACTTGGAATGAGGCAAGTAAAAAGGGTTTGGAGCCTAAGTGGTTTAACTTTAATGGGGGACCTTGACACAAGGGGGAAGGGGAGGATCCATTATTTAGCCCCTTGAGTCATTAATTGAATTGGGTTCAGTTCTTCCTTTCCAATTTACCCAATATGTTCTCTGCAACACCTATATTTTCCTCAAGGGAGAGGTGGAGGAGAAGAGGTTCGGGACATGATGGGTGTTGATCTGTGTGCATGACGCCATGACACGGCACTTACATATTAGAGCATATGGAAACACATAAACAAGGACGTAAGAAAGGATTCAACACAACAAAATAGCTAAAGAAAAATAATGCAATGAAACTTTTAATAATTCACTTGATACTCTTTGGCTTGAGTTGTAATATCAAATAATTTAATTTGGATGCAGCAAACACCCTAACATGGAAGCACATTGTGAAAGCATATCAACAACTAACAAAAGCAATTCTATACTTTATCTTCTAACTTCTTCTCCTAGTTATGTTCCCCTTTAACTTTCTTGGATTGTAAGTCATATGACAATTGCTAAACAATAAAGCATGCAATCGTTTCATACAGGTGGATAAAATAGAGAGATAATAAGCATTTCATCATTCAAAACTTCTGAAATAAGTTTAAAAATCTTTTTGTTTTCAAGAATCTAGCTGCTAAAAGGTATATCTTTGAAGGGGGGAAAAAAGAAAAAGAAAAAGGGCATCTCAAAACTTGCAAAGATAGAGAATCAGACACATAGGCTGATATGCAGCTCACCAAGGTACATTTCCATCTCCCGAATGCATCCTCATAATGTCAGCGCCCCATACCTTAACGGTAAGGTCATCACTGCAAAATCAATATAATTACATTAAAAGTGTCTTCATAACTAATGCTATTTGTCATGATTGAAACAGACTTATAAGACGCTGCCTTAAAGTTATCATTTATATATTAAATGGGAACGAGTAAGCATTAAGGAGTGCCCTGCATACCTACAGGAAACCATTTTGTCTCCATTGGTGTTAAAAGATAAAGCCCAGATAGTAGAAGAGTGTCCACTGAAAATGCAGGAAGACATTTATATGAGACTTCAAAAATTATGGACAATCTCAATCACCTATTGATGCACAATCATACATTTAAACCAATGTAAAAAAATTTATAGGCTAGTGAAGCACAGGACATGCGACCATGAAATATCAACAAGTACCTGTTGGATTCACCTAAAGTTTGAACACAATGCCAATCATCACTGTCCCCATCCTCCGCCCAGACCTACAAGAGTTAGATGTGTCTTATTTAGCAATACACAATATGTTGAACTAAACAGAAGGTATATTGATAAATACGGCAGGCAGACTAACAAACTTGAATGTCTTAAATGCAGTTGAAATATTCTTTTTTCCTTTTTCTATAAATACCTTAATAGTGTTGTCGTAACTACATGAAAACAAAATATCCATAGAGGGATGCCATTGGACCATTTTAACATCTTGAGTGTGTCCCTGCAACACTGAAACGCAGTCAAATTCATTATGGGGTAATAATTCCCATATCCACACTGATTTGTCTCGTCCACATGTTGCAAGTAGTGAGCCGGATGCATTCCAAGAAACACTTTTAACTTCATTTTCATGACCCTGATGCAAATAACGTTTTTTTAATCAGATTAGGACAATAAGAACCATGTTTGATCAAATAAATAAAAGACGTCAGACAAGAAAGAAATAAATATTACAGATTTGGATAACTCAACCACATTTAAATTAACGAGATGATATTAAAATATAAAATCCTAAACGGTACCTCTAAATTGGAAATGCATTCAAAATCACCCCCAACATCTTCCCAGATAGCAGTGGTGGCATCAAAACTTGCTGTCGCCAACAATTTTCCAGATGGCGACCACATGCACGACCTAACAGTCCTAGTGTGTGTCTCCTCCAAGACTGCCTGAAAAGTAGCATTATGTCATGATACTATTGCAAGGATTTTATTCAACAATTAACCAAAAGAAAATATTAATAAATAACAAATTGCATGAACTTCGAAAATTTCAAGAAACTTATTTTCTTCCAAGAAGTAAGCGATGACTTTGGTTTACTAGAGACATCGACATACCTTGACTTTTTTAGAATAGGTCCGTCGTGTTACCGAGGACCTCATTTCAAAAATATACGCCGCCTGGGGGCTTTCTGCTGTTTCAAAAAACTTTTTCTGTTGATGCTTTTGAAAAATGAACTTCATTGATTGATTTGCGCTCATATTCATCACTGTAGGAATTGGGTTCAAGCTTTCCCCAAGCCTTGCAAATAGAGATTTTTTTCTTTCGACTATATTTCAATTGTTAATACGATCACAAATCTTTCTACCCATCCTGTATATTGTCCTTTTCGTTCCGTGTTGGAATAGAAATACGAAACTTGAATCCCAAGTCAAAAGTATGTGCTTCCTGTATGGGGTATTGTCTTGTCTAGTTAACTTTATTGCTTACAGACATTCTCCGTTTTATGAGCCTCAGAATTGATCTCAGAAGATAAGCTAGAGTAGCGGTTTAGGAAGAATTATGGAATTGCAGCACCCTTTTATACTATGATTGACGAAAAGAATCCAGAAGATGATCAGCTAGGGAGGATGCAGAGTTCATTTAGCTGACATGTCTAACTATTAAACCTTGGAGACAAGGTTTAAATAAGGGGAGGGATGTCATAGAAAGAGAATTTACAGGTCATGCCAAATTAATACAGTTCAAATAAATTTTAAGTTGTAATAAGCAAGTAGAACGGTTATTGTGATTTCCATTGCCTATTTCATTATTGCAAATTCTGTGTTCTTCTTCTTCTTCTTCTTCTTTATTTATTTATTTAATTTTTTTTTTATCATCTACTCTATTTTTTGTTTTATCATAAGAAATTAATAAAAATACTATCAATTTGCCGCACATATTGTCGATTTTAGCTGGTATTAGTTAAATTTTGGTGGATAATTGAAGGATAACCATTACAAATAGTGGGAAAAAATCAAAACTTCAGTCAATTGAAATAGTTACCCCCTAAATGTGCAATTTATGTTATGACAGCATAATTTTGTATTCTCTTGAGGACACTTCTCGATATCGGGAGGTAAACAGAAGCTTGAAATAAATATAGAAGAGAAAAATCAAACCTTTTGCTGGAAAGAGCCTGTGGCGGGACTTTGTTCCCAAACACAGACGGTTTTGTCTCCGCTACAAGAAGCCAGTACTGCAGGAACGCCGTTGACTCCAGTTGCCGGTTTCCATGCTACGCCCCAAACCCTATCAGTGTGGCCTTCGAGTCGCTGAATTTCTCTCAGCTCGAAATTCTCGTCGGCGGAGTTCATCGCTCGGAAAGTTAATATATTACGGTTGATTATAAACTCGTTTGAGACACGCGCCGCCCTCACTGATGGTGGGAGAATGTGGTGGTCTCGTGCTACTAACCCAGTGTTACTAAAAGGAACATCAGGGCCATTACGTGTAGAATAAAATACCAGTAAGGCCCCTGTAGTCTGGATATTTTCACTTTGACCCTCTTTTATGAACTATATGTCAATTTGACCGTTTATGATAATTTAAATGTTTCGCGCGTGTTAGTCGCTAACAATTAAAAGGGATCAGACGATTGTGTAAGGGACAAATCTCTTGAGACAAAGTCCAAAAAAGGAGTGTTCTTTATTGGCGGTGACTTTACAATCGGAAATTAAAAACACCCTTTTTGGGACTTTGTCTCAAGAGTTTTGTCCCTTACACAATCGTCTGATCCCTTTTAATTGTTAGCGACTAACACGCGCGAAACAATTTGGCACGCCCAGTGGGACAGTGGTATTTGGTGTTGAAAATACAAAAGGTGAAACAATATGCCTCAGAGATCCGATAAGGAAGCAGCAAGTCAGGGAGGAATCCAGTCTGTGATCGAGCGATATGAGGAGCAGCATGCCTCTCCACGAACAGATGGATAGAATCAGAGCAGTAACAGTCGTTACGAACCAATGACAGAATTGAGTTCTCGAACCATGCGTGCATTACTTGGAGAACTCACACAAGATGTCGTTGAACAGGTAAATCTTCGAAGTATTCATAATATGGAAATATTTACCCAAAATGGGAATGCACATTATGACAACATGGCCAAACAACTAAACACTTTGAACGAAACAATGAATAAATTAATAGGCCAAATATGTCAACTGGTTATACCTCTTGCAAATCACTTTCAAACTAGGACAATTGTGGGACATAATCCCTCAGTCCTAAATTCGAATCAAGGGTTAGAACCACTTTCTGGTCCCTCTACTTCAAACCAAGGGCGTGCTGCAGTGCCAAATCAGAACAATGGTAGTGGTACGCCCAACTTGGGGGGTAATCCAAATATAAGAGATAATGTCCTAAACAATGGACAGAATACCCCGCGTGTTAATGAGGGAATAGATGTTCAGGCTAATGGTAATGGCCCTAATCATGGTAACTTTGTTGCCAATCAAGGACCAAACATCATGCCTCATGCAAATCAACCGGTTAACCAACCTGTAGGAATTCCATATGACCCCAACGTCATGTTGAGGAATCAGATTATGAAAATCGTACAGGATCAGATGGTTTTTGGGGTGCGTCCCGTCATTAGGCCGACTTATACAAAGCCATATCCTGATTGGGTAGACCAAGCATATCCATGGCCTAGAGGGTATAAAGTGCCAGAATTCTCACTGTTTACCGGTTTAAGAGAGGTGTCTACTCTAGAACACATAGGGCGATTCACATTACAAAGTGGTGATGTAACCGATTACCATAAAATGAGGCTTTTCCCTAGTTCATTAACCGGAGTAGCTTTCTCCTGGTTCATCAACTTGTCAGCGAACTCTGTTCAAACATGGCAACAATTGGAACAGTTATTCCACGCTCAGTTTTGTAAAACTGAGTCTGAAGTCACTTTGGCTGATTTGGCGAATCTACGTCAAATGCCAAACGAATGGGCAGAAAGTTTTCTCCAAAGGTTCAAGATAGCAAGAAGCAAGTGTTTTGTACCTCTGCCCGAAAAAGAATTTGTCAAAATCGCTCAAGGTTGTTTGAGCTTTGATTTAAAAAAGAAATCCAGGACAAGGAATTTCCTGACCTTTTCCAGTTGAGTGCGAATGTGATTAGGTATGAACGACTGATAAGAGAGGAAGAGCAGATGAAAAATTCTAGTAAAGGGACTTATTATAAAGACCCAAGTTTTGACGTTCATACCATCAGCGACGAGTCATACGATCAGGTCGAAATGTGTTTGGTCGAATTGGTTAAAGGAGATACGTATACTTGTCCTATAATGGCTAAACCTAGACCATCGGGCAAAGATGAGCCCATAAAAGATTGAAACATAAAGGCTAGAACGTTCTCGTTCGATGTAACCAAAGTTGACCTTATATTTGATAAATTATATAGGGATAAGCAGATAAAGCTGAGCGATAAGCATAAATTGCCAAACCCTGAACAAATTAAGGGTAAAAAATATTGTAAGTGGCATAATGCATGGTCACATTTGACTAACAATTGCTTGGTTTTTCGCCATGTATTGTAGGATGCCATTGAATCAGGACGAATTACGTTCGACGATAAGAAGAAGATGGCAGTGGATGAAAATCCTTTTCCACAGCCACTTGGAGTGAACATGGTGACGTCTGGTTTCAAAACAAGTTGTCAAAATTCAAGTTGGTCATAGATGATGGAGAACAGGACCCTAGACCACATCCCAGTATCTTTGAACGGATCAAGGGGAAAGAACCAAAAAGGGACGAAGACGTCCTGTGTGCAAGATATAAAAGAGAAATGAGTGGGAACATGGAGAAACCAGGGATATGGCAACATCCCCATCGCCCTACTTTCTTCCCAAACACTCAGCCTAGTAGAGGGTGAGGTACATCATTCTATAGAGGACCGCCTTTTGAGAGGCAATTCAGGCCAACAGATAATGGGAGAACATTCAGGCCGCAACCTCGCCGGCCACATGTATGGCATTTGTTCCAGTATAATGTAGGAAGGGCAATACCCTTCGATGAGATGACTAGAACCCAACAAAGGCGTTTCCAATGAAACTATGGACGAATGATGAGGCAGCAACAGGGAGTGCCACATCCTAAAGCGCCTAAACTATTCAAGATAGCCAATCAAAATGTTCTCAAGGCTAGTGAAGAAACCGGTACAGACGAATCAATGAAAGAGCTGCTAGAAACTTCTTCTGGGAGATCGAAGTTTGAGCGGGACAGAAGGGATGGAGAAGATCCAGATCAGCCCCTTACTTTTCAGTTCGGTACGTTACCTCCTGTCGTGGCCAATAATTATTTACTGGCCAATGAATTCAAGAATAAAGAAAAAGAAGAAGAAGAAAGGGAGGACAACGAAGGAGAGGCTTGTGAAGAAGGCCAGACTTCTAGAGAGGCCTACAACGATGAAGAAGACAACGGGATGACAGACATTGAAGAAGAAATCGACCTAGAAGCAGAAGGAAGAAGGAGAGGAGTATCGCGCAATACTCTGTTGAAGCAACTACATCGAGAGGGAGTTCGAGAAGTAGACTTATTGGGAGAACCATATGAGCGTCCTTTCGATTTCTACGTACTATACGGGACACCCAAAAGGAAGAAGAGAGTGTCTCGCTCTGAAAAGTATGGATCACCTCCAAGAATAATGTCCCCTCCCACAGGTTAGGTAACTGATGAGGAAGCATTAGAAAACAGTAAGAAGGAAATTCAGGAGACAGAGGCTCATCGCGATATGCTGCACGTCAACTTATCACAGGAGGATAATTCGACAGAAAACAAGCAGGAAGTAGAAATAGAGGTTGCCGAAAAGGTTATTTTTAAACGGCCAGACATGAAATTGACTAAACACTTGAGGTCATTGTACGTTAAAGCTCTAGTTAACGGCATCCCTGTGGCAAAAGTGCTTGTCGACAATGGAGCAGCTATAAACATCATTCCATCTAGGATGATGAGGAAATTTGCAAAGACAGAGGATGACATGATTCCAGCAGAAGTTATCCTTACGAGTTTCAACGGAGGAGCAACTTCAGCTAAGGGAGTTATGCCATTGGACATAACTATAGGGACGACCACTAGGACCACAGTCTTCTTTGTAATAGATGGTCCTACCAGTTACAATGTGCTACTAGGAAGAGATTGGATACACGGAAGTCGCTGTATACCCTCATCGCTCCATCAATGCCTGATTTTCTGGAATAACAAAGGCGAAGCAGAGGTGGTACAGGCCGATCATAGGCCTTTTGTCGCAGAAGCAAACTCGGTGGAAAAGTTCATGTACGAAGAAAACTATGGACCTGTCAGGGTAGTACAAGATGGGGAAGAAACTCAAGTTGTCGTGCAAAGCGAAGAGCCATTTTCAGTGGACGCACTCACTGAAATGTTCAGACAGATGAGGCCAAATATAGTGGCCCTAGAAGAGCTAGTAATTGGCAAAAGAATAATCAAGGAGTTTTGAATAGATACTAAGCTTCAAAAATAAATGGCCGATATTCAGGCCTTCAAAGCCAGACTAATGGCTTTCAATAAGGAATGTAATGACAAGGCGAAAGAAGAGACAGCCCTGAAAGCGCTGAAGGACAAATTAGCAGTATTCAAGTTAGAACAAAGCATTGGCCGAGAAGTCAACAAGGTGGACTGTTTAGAAGAAGAAGTACTTACAAGGGAACTGGACGACGAAGTGATGCGGATCATCAAACCTGGATACTCTCAAGCACAAATCCCTCTGATCAAAGTAAATATTGGCAATGAAGGAGAAGATCGTCCAACATTCATCAGCCAGATGCTCGATCAAGAGGTTAGTAATAAATTAATTGCTTTGCTAAAGGAGTATAAAGATTGTTTTGCTTAGGAATATGAACAAATGCTTGGTTTAGATAGAGACTTGGTGGAACATAAGTTACCAACTAAACCTAATTTTAAACCTCATAGGCAGCCTCCTAGACGTTTTGCTCTTAATGTACTCCCTGAGATTAAGAAAGAGATAGAGCGATTATTGAAAGCAGGTTTTATTAGAACATCCAGATATGTCGAATGGTTGTCCAATATCGTGCCAGTACTAAAAAAGAATGGTAAACTAAGGGTGTGTATAGACTTTAGAAATTTAAACATAGCTACACCCAAAGATGAGTATCCAATGCCCACGGTGGATTCTTTAGTAGACTCGACTGCCGAACATGTCATGTATTCTTTCATGGATGGGTATACAGGATACAATCAAATTTATATAGCTGAAGAAGACATACACAAAACTGCCTTTAAATGCCCTGGGTCTCTAGGATGTTTTGAATGGGTGGTTATGCCTTTCGGCCTAAAAAATGCAGGGGCAACTTATCAAAGGGCAATAAATTTAATCTTTCATGATATGATAGGCAAGTTTGTTGAAGTGTATGTAGACGACATAGTAGTTAAGTCCATTAAAGAAGAGGACCATTTCGAACAG